TTAGGGTTTAGAAGGCGGCATGAGAGGGATCTCGGGATCCGGATCTGGGGCTTTCGGACAAGTTACTGCAGCTAGTAGCATGCAAGGATACTTGGGCTGGGGGGATGGCAACAAGACGCATGACACTAGCAATGCTGACCACAAGGCTAGCAGCAATGGTGCTGGCAATGGGCATCAGTAAAAGCTAGCATGATTGGCAATAGCATTTTCCGGGGTTCTGTTACGATTATTCTTGGAGTAGTTCGCACATTTCGCTTAGATAGCAATGTTATTTTTGTTAGCTGTTTGGGCCTCAAAGCCCTAAGGAAGGAAGTGCCGAGCCATGGCTCGATCTTGGAAGTACTCTTGGATTTCTTACGGAGATGTATTGTCTTGATATTGGGGATTGAGGGTTTAGGGTTTAGGATAGGGGTTATATGAACGATCTGATAGGCATGGATTTATGGTATTGCGGTCTTAGGCTTTGAGGTGTGTTACTTTAGGCATTAGTTGTTCAGAGTGTGGGCTCGAACGGGTGTTACTTGTGCTGCTAGACAGGGGCTTTATACCGTCATGGCACCCTTAGTTGTTGAAGTTCTCAACGCAGGCTCAAACCAGGACAGAAGTCCTCTGATATGGTGTTTGGGCCCAAAACGTTTGGGCATCGAAGATTTCGGATTCGAGATTAGGTTTGGCGATGGCGACGAGTAAGTGGGGAATAGGAGCATTACGAACAAGGGTGCGAATGGAGCGGATTTAGGGTTACGGTGTCTACTAAGCCCTCCAAACCTATTGGGTTGGTATTCAGGGCCTTAGGGCTTGGGGTCCATTAGATTTAGGGTTTAGGGTCTAGATGGGTCTAGCGTGTTTTCTACACCCTAACCCCTCTTGGGTCCAGGGTTCTTTCGGAAAAGAAGCCCCCAGTTTTCCCAGACGCAGAAATTCAAAACCTCAGCCCCCAGCCCGAACCTTAAGCCTTAAACTTCCGCACCAAAGGAAAAGAAACCTGTATACGACCCTGTATGTTAACCCTTACTTAGGGTAATCCCAAACCCTGGACCCGAATTCTTGTGGGGAAGTGAAGAAAATCGGAACGTGGGTCATGGCTTCTACTTTAAACCTTTCGCAGGCTGGCTCATTGCGCTGATTGGCCCCTTCGGCACGCTGGTCCTCTCCGAGCTGAGCAAGGCCCGCACAATCTAGGGCCGAGGGGTCTATAGTTCTCTTGCAAGGTTTCATAAGGTTGCTTGCCGCAAAATAAATTGAGTTTAAGGCTGGATTGAGAACTTGCTTTCGGGCTTGCAATATCACTATGACATGACCCGTAAAAAAGCCCAGCATTTTTCAGTTAGTCCGTCTTGTTGTTGCTGTCGCTCCCGCAATGCTGCTGCTGTCTACTGATTTCTTTCCGCGTTGCAGAGGCTTGTTGCGGCTTGTTCCTGCTGACGACATCAAGAGCAGCATGAACAGATTTTGTGACAGCAAGAGGCACAAACAGCGAGGATGAGTAATTAGAACAAACGTCAGAACGCTAATAACTACACTAGGTCCTACTTGCGACAAGAAGTTTAGCAGCATGAAGCAGGATGCCGACTGTACCTGTAGCCGCAAACCCTACAGAATTGTAGGTTATGATGCCTTAACTTTCAGGTATAGCCCTTAAAAGCGGCAGGTATTTTTGGACCCCCAGGTAAGCCTTAGACTGCTACGGCCTGGACCTCTGACGCCCAAACCCAGAACCTCGCTCCCAATCCCGGACAAATATCCACTTCCCTGACACTCAACCGTAATTGCCCTTGATGCGTGGGTACTTTGGACCCTTACGGTTCTGAAGAGGTGATTACCGGCTGGCAGATGCGAAACTACCAGCGCTCGTGCCTTTCACTGCAGAAGATTAGAGTTCAACGTCCGGTGCTTAGGGTTTGGGGTCTTGGGGGTGGGGTTTAAGGGTCTATGGTTAGGGTTTAGAGTTTTAGGGCCTAGGCGTTCTGCAGCCTAGTGAGCTTCAGGGCATGCAGCTTCCCGTGGAGCTCAAAACCCCACCTCAGCTCCCAAAGCCAAGCCTCAAGGATCTGAAACTAGGTAGTATTATTTAGGGTTTAGGGTTTAGGGTTTAGGGTACCCCTTCTGAACCCTACTTTTAAAAGGGACCTTATTGAGAGGGTCCATATCCCCAAGATTCCCCTAATCCTAGCTCCCAGAAACACCGAGTCCTTGTCCGGGGCCATAAACCCTAAACTCGTCAGCTGAAGGTGTAAGACGTAAGACTCTAAAGCCTCAAGTTTTCAACTTCCGGAACGAGATGGTATAGGGACCTTAAAACATTACCAATACCCTTTTGGGGGTTCCTTCTTATAACTATAGTAGAATGGGCCCCAAAACCCTCTATAGTCAATTGTTTTCCGCCCCTATATTAGATGATCGTAAACCCTAAACCCTAAACCCTAAACCCCAAACCACAAGGTTCCATGCCTGGACTCTTCCACAACCGCCTGGAAGCCTTGAAGCCCTCAAAAGGGCCCAAACTTTTCTAGGGACTTGAGCCGTTATATAGGGTTTAGCTTAGGGTATAGGGAACTGTATTTCATGACAGTCTGCAGCGGAGGTAGCTGCACTGGGCGTTTGGGCTCTTCTTCAAAGGGGTTCCAGCTGAATCACAATCGTAGGCACGAGCGCACACGCTCTGTTGTTTTATGCGCACAAAGCACACGTAGCAATGGCTCTCGTACGGCACACTAAAAGGGGCCCCTTCATGAGCCTTCACGCATCGGCATATGCTGCTGACAGGATCTCAGACAAGCTATACTTGTTGCACCACCCCCAAAAAGGTTCAGCAGCATCTGTGAAGAGGTCCTCATGAGGGGTCTCAAGAAACTTCTGTACAGTGCCCACAGCAGTGGTTCCTACCTTGCGTCCTTTCTTTGCCGAGGTAAAAGAAGGATCATACCGGATACACCAGTAGCCCGTCCGAAGAAACTTTAGCAAACCCTCACGACAGTCAGCCCTCTTCTTCGTCAAGGCGTCAGCCAGGTCGAAGTCGCTCGCCAACCAGCGTAGTTCACAAGCAGCTCGACGGAGATTCCCACGTAGCTGAAAAGCCTGAAGAGCAGCTCGCATGTTGCTTAGGCCCAGTAGCGGGGACTCGTTGAGTTCCACTGCGTCGTATCCGCCTCTGCTGTCGGTGCAGAGGACTCCCTTGATGCCAGCTATCTGGCGCTCCACAACATCCACCAGATCGACTCGCAAGGGTCGCTCTGAATCGTGGCCGGCAGCTCCATGTAGTTCCGACCACAGAAGTCGGGCTCTGAAGTTGTGGTCCTCGGCCTCCAAGATTGACTGCACCTCAGCATCGTTGCTTCCGATGGCCTTCCGCTTAAGCTTCCATGTGCGCCACCCAATCAGTGACATTGGACACACACGTCCAGTGACGCTTTCCGGACCAGACACTAGGGTCACCAGTCCGCCTGTAGAGTCACCCTTTGGGCGATTCGCATGAGCTTGATCTCCCATCGAGATGAAGACTACGTCACGCCAGTGCTTGGCCTTCACAAACTTCTGAAAGGAGAGGCTGAAGGGCTCCTGTCTCACTTCAGAGATGACCTGCTGGATCTCTCTGGCAGTCTCCATCGTGCCATTGGTCACCAGGTCCGTCAACAGCAAGTTGCACCTTGCACATACTTGGGGCTGAGACTGGATAGCAACCCATTGTAGCGCACCCAGTGATGCCCGGCAGGCATCCACGTCTTGTTTCGAAAGCGAGGTCTCTCGCCGAAGTCGTTCAGGCTCGATGTCCACATCGGTGAGCGCCTCGATGTAGTAGCTCTGGTCGACAACAATCTTGTTGTAGCCATTCTCATCTTTCACCGTGGACACGTCCGTGCCTGCATGACGATATGCGCCAGTCTTCGTCATTCCCCACTTGTAGGCATTGTTGAGGCGTTCGCGGATTTCCAGCCACTCGGGTGAGCCATCGCCAATCCTGTAAAAGTCGTCAACATGACCTCCCATGGCACCAATAGTCTTGGGGTGACTGCCGTCCATCCTCAGTTTGGACAGCCATATCCAAAGACATCGTTCTCCCAGTACTGCTTGAGCACCAAGACTTGTGAGAGTCTTGTGCAGCGACAGCCACAGTCCCCTCGGCGCTGTTGTGCTGCCATAGATATTTCGCAACACTCTCATCACACTGTCGGTGTCCAGGCCAACGGCTTCACGAAGTTCGTGAACGCCAGTGGTCCACAGCTCCTGGTCAGCTTCCGTGGGCTGCGTTTGAAGAAAGGCTGTAGCCAAGTCCAGTCCTTCCAGCTCCCACTGAGAATCTGCTGCCATAGTGTACAAGAGGTTTCTTCCTAGCATAGACTGTACAGGGCTCGCGGTCTTGAAGGTGGGGTCCAGCAAGCTTGGGTGTTGGAACCCAAGTAAGACAATCCTCGCCTTGGCCTTCTTGGTGCCATCGGCATTGTGAACGGTCTTGGGATTCTCGCGACTGTCTTGTAGAGCTTCAGCTTGCTCCTCAGGAGGGACAAGCTTCCAAGTCAACACCCATCTCGCCTTGACCACTCGCCCGGAGTCCATCGCTTTCCGAAGTTCAGCATCGTCTAAGCACTTCCGCACTGCCTCATTCTTGATGAAGGAGTCCACTTCTTTCATCTTTGCTCGATGAAATAGAGCTCGATCCTTCTCTGACAACCTTGAGAGGGAAACCTCAGAGTCCTTCATCTTTTTGACAAGGTAGAGGAGTGGATTGCGTTCTAGAAACTTCCGTTGTCGGTTGGACACTGGCGCGGGGAGGTCAAACTCAACCTTCATGAACTCCTCGGTCTCCTGAAACGCCGTGAAGATGTCGATGGAATCCTGAGGCTGTGTCTCTTCCATGTAGAGTTCGTCGACCCATGTAGGTTCGGTTTTGGGTCGTTTGGCCTCAGGGTCCTCGTAAGAGTTCACTGTAGTGTCCAGAGGCCGCGTTGAGCTGGACAACGGGTCATCCGTGCCAGTGACTTGGTCACTGCTCGATGCTGGTAGCGGCTCTTCGGTGGTCGTAGTAGGGGACGTCGTCAAGGTGGTTTTCCGGGATACCCTGCGCGTGGGTTGCACCATTGTCCGCTTGTCGGGTACTTGTGGTAGATCAGGTAGCTCCACCTCGTTCTCCTCAGGGATCTGGTCGGTGAGGTCCACGTACTCGCGGTTGGGCATAATGTCCGACAAGGTCCTCCATGTAGACGATTGATCCTCGCCAGACGTCTCAAATTGAAACCTCTCGGTTTCTGTGACCGGCCTCACAGAATGCACTGAACATCTGAACATCTGAGAGCCGATCAGAACCCACACAATATGTCGACGTGCATCATCGGCATCTTGATGCGGTAGTACCTCGTGAAAAACGACTCGGCCGGGACCCACCCAGTGAGGTCTTCCGGACTTCCGGTAGCCTCCGCGGGGTCCTTTGAACTGTTGTTGTGGCCAGACCTTGCGCCAGACCTTAACAAGCTCCATGGGGCCAAATTGTCGTAGAGGTTGTCGGACAGAAGTGTTGTTGAGCTTCGTCAGCACTCTTTTTGCCCGAGTAGATCGAGCAATCTCCTCCGCTTTGGACCGTGCCTGCACCAGCTTCACAAACTCGTGCTGGTAGTCGGAGGTCAGGAACGTCCGCACATCCTCATCGGACAAGGAGTACTCACGTCCGAAGGCCCATTGATATGATGAAAAGCCACCGGTGTACTCGGGTGCACGTGCCTGCAATGTATGTACGCATGCATGTATGTAGGTGATTGCACATATGTATGAATGTATGTATGTGTATGTGTGTATGTATGGTTAGATGTCTGTATGGTATGGTGAAGTATGGCATGGCATGGCA